AAACCTGATGTATTTATTTGCCCCTCTGGGGCTCCCTCTGTTCAACCCACAGTGCTGTTGGGGAAGTGACCTTTCTGTAGATGGCTGTCTGGTAACCAGGTGGGGGTGAGGAGGAGGGGACTGCTATAAATCCCTCCATCCTGCCATGGAGTAGTGACCCTGTCAAGGTAGAGGACACAGCTTGGAGAGGTGGGAACCAAGGTGCCAAAAAAAGTACTTGGAAACAGAGCCACCTAGATCCTAAGCGGACTGGTATGAGGAGAAAGAGGACAGTGAGAGAGGGAAGGGAAGGAAAGGGGAAGGAAGAGAGGAGAGGCGGGAGGGGAAGAGGTCCCTGTGGGTGTCAGTACATGGCTTTCTCGTCTGGGGTATTGGGGATCTAGTTGGGGTTTTTTTTGTTTGTTTTTATTTTGGTTTTTTTTGTATTGCTGATTTGCTAAGTTTAATACTTTAAATTTTATATGTTATCTCATTTAATCATCACATTTTTTGCACTACGTATTATCTCTGATTTGCATATGAAATCACAGAGCTAAGGAGTTTGTCCAAGGTTACACAGCAGAGCTAAGATTTGAACCCAGGTGCTTCCAAAGCTCGAGTGCTGAAGAACACACACATTTTTTTCCCTGCTCCCAAGCCGGCTCTCTGAGGACCCCACTGAGGGCCCAGACTTACCTACCCTTTACCTCTTCCTTGGCAGATCTGATTTATTGTAGAACAGACCCAGCCTGGGCTGAGCCCAGGGTTTCTGGCTATAGAACTGCAGGAACCTCGGCCCTCAGTAGATTCCATCCCCAGGCCCCTGGCACTTGACTTGTGCTGAGGACAAACATAAAAGTGACTTGATTTCACAATGTCTTAGACATTGTGTTTAACGTTGTCTAAAGGAGATAAGAGACGATGTCTCCTATCACACTGACAGGCTTGCTTTTGGAAACTTCTGTGGTTAGCTAACGAGCTTTTGTATGAGCTTGGCTTTCAAGTAGGGGGTTTTCATAATATTTATAAACAGTTTAGCATAGTCCAGTCAGCTAGAGAATTCCTTTGGGCTGAGTTTAAGGAAATTCCTTGAGCCAAGAATTGAAGTTTTCCCCCTTATTTGACAGCACACAAATTTTGTAAGGATGGCTAGAACTTCCAAACTTCCTGTTGCTGTCTTTTTTCAAATCTTATTTCGAGTATGAGGGGAGTCAGGGGAAATTCTAGGTCCTTCTCTTGACAAAGTCCCCATAGGCTTCAGAGATAAAAAGGAATGATGGCACTAATCCCACTGCTTCCCCTGCCCTATACTCAGCCTGGCCTGTTCCTGGGACCAGGGCCAAGGCCATCCTAGGGGAACATGAGCTCAGAGACCTCGCTCACATTCTCTTTCATCTCTTTTCAGATGTCCCCACCCACAGAGAGGGGTCAGCACCCCCATGAGCACTTAGTACTTGCATTAGAACTTGGGATGGGGCCTTGCCAGAAACCACACATCCTCAACAGAGGCAATATCACCCCTATGAGGGATGGAAAATGGTCCCAGTTGGGCAACTAACAACCTCTGCTGTTTCAGTGCTTTCTGACTCTTCCAAAGGACTCCATAAGTACTTACATGTGTGAAAGAAAATTGTCTCTGTTTTCAGGTGATATCCTTTTCTTTTGGTGGTGGTACTGGAGTGTGAACTCACACTTGTTAGGCAGGCACTCTTACCACATCCTCCAGCTCTTTTTTGTGTTGGTTATTTTCAAGATAGGGTCTTGTGAGCTATTTTCTTGGGGCTGGCTTCAGATCTTGATCCTCCTGATCTCTGCCTCCTGAGTACTAGGATTGTAAGTGTGAGTCACCGGTGCCCAGCCAGACAATATGATCTTGAGTCTAGAAAATCTAGGGAATCTATAGTGCATCTCTAGTATTAAAATTTCATTGGGAGGGAAAGGAAATTAGAAAAAAAAGATCTAAAAAGAGTCCTTAGGCAAGGTGTGGTGGTACATGCCTGTAATGCAGCACTCCAGAGGCTAAGATAGGATCTTGAGTTCGAGGCCAGCCTGGGATACATGGGGAAACCCTGTCTCGAAAACAAACAGAACAAACAGAAAAGAGTCCTTGGGGTGGCAACAATAATAATGACACTTATAATAACAGGTTGAGAAGGACTCAATTAGGTTAAGTTCAGACAAGAGAACCAGAATATTGGGGTGTAGCTTTCAGGAACCTGCCTTTCTCATCATTTGGGATTGGCCAATCAGGAGGCATAAGGAAAGACCAGGAAACATACCCCCCTGACCCTAGGACCAGGTATCTTGTAGTACGGGCTACAGATGGGCCAGTCTAGACATGTGCTCCCTGTAGGCAAATCCCATCTCTGTCACAGACAACTCTACTGACGTTGAACAAGATGCTTGGCCTTGCTGTCCCCTCTTTTCACTGGCAGGATGAGGATGAGGGTAAGGATGTGCCTGAGCAGGCTGGCTGGAATGATTAAATGAGATTACTCATGCTAAATAGTTACACAGCACTGGCACATGGTTGCCTTTCCATTGTGCTCCCTAGAAGCTTTATTCACCTGGCCACTTGGTGAGGTCTGCCCACTCCTTGGTCCCTCTGATCCAACTGGTGGGTCTTGGCTCTACTTGGGTCAGAGCTCCTGCCAGATGATTCTAGAAGAGGATGCTGGGGAGGGAGGAACTCTGCACTTGAGGTGCCATTTTACGCTCTGCAGACTCTCCTATCCATGTGCACACACATTTATGGACTTTTCAGTTGATAAGTTACAGAGACCTGTAGCCTGAAGAGTGACTCAATTCCTAACCTTCACTGCCAAATGTGACTCTAAGTCTGATCTAACCACATCCTACTCTTTATCCTCACCTAGCCCTCACCCAACTCCTAACTGACCCCATCTTCCCTCCAGTTCTAACGTGGGCACTAACCTTTCACTCTACCTCTTATAGCCCTCATCCTTAAGCCACTGGTAACCCAGTGTTCCCCAAACTTAGACCACTCACCTCCTCAGTCACAAGTTTGCTGTACCTGTGTCCCTCCTAAACTCATAGTTGCTTCGTATTTATCCTAAGTGGATCTTTAACAACCTTCTGAGTAACTGTATCTCAGACATCATCAGGGTTGGTTATATTGTTTCTAATAGATGTTAAAATAAATATAGCAGGCTTAACATTTTAAAACTGTTCTTCATCTACCAGCTAAAGCTCCATCCTATAGCTCTGGAAGGGCTCATGGCACTTTAGAAAAGGCTGAGCTACCTGAGCCTTTGCCACCAGCCCCAGAGTTCTCTACTCACCTGGGCGGGCCCAGGAGCAGCCTTGGGCCAGACCAGTGAGTGGGCTGCTGCGCCCTCTGCTGGCTGAGTCTGGAAGCAGCCTTAGCTCTGCTCTCCTGCAGGGCAGGTACACAGTGTCCTCTCTGACCTGGTACTTGTTGCACAGCAGCCTGCGTCCTACACGCACTAGTTGTAGCATTCCCTTAATGGTAAGAAAGAAGGAAGGTGAGAAAGCACCCCTCTAGGCAGAGGAGCGGGATGTACCTGTGACATGGGGTGGAGATAAGGCTGAGGGACAGGAACCAGGAGGTAAGGTCCAAGGTTAGACTGTGAGTGTGGTTAGGGCTGGGGTTGGGACTTCAAGTAAGTCTAGGGTGGATGCAGGGCTGGTCAGAATGGGATGGGGGAGGGTGCAAGGTTGGAGAACAGGCACCCATATAGCAGCTGGGTGAAAGAAAGAGCAAGGTTGGGGGTGGGTTAAAGCCTTTACAACCTTTACAGAGTTGTGAACAAGCCCTTGATTTCCAGAGAAGGCGCCGGGACAAGGCTGGGCTGTTCAGCTACAGAAAGCCGGCTCTCTGTTCCAGGTCTATCTCCCATCTGGTGTGAAAGGAACACAGAACACCTACCGCCCTGCTACTTCAAGGCGGTCCCCCTGCTCTTCTTGGCTCCCTTGGATCCAAGACACCCACAGCTGTCTGGCTCTGTATCAGATTTCATTTTATATGCTCCCAAAGACAAGCCCATACATGCTCATTTTTTCTTTGAGACAAGGTCTTGCTATGTTGCCCAGGATGGCCTCAAACTCGCCATCCTCCTGCATCTGGCCGTGTACTTTTTGGCTAAAATTTGCTGTTTATTTCCCTATAATGTCTAAAGCAGTAACATTGTCATCTTGGTTGTCCACGAAATAAGATCTTACACTTGTGTGGTTCTATATCCAGAAGCATCTCGCTGATTCACACAAAGACCCACATGAAATAAAAAGGATCTGCATTGTCCCATTGTACAGAGGAACCTCAGGATCAGGGAGTGAAATGTGCCAGACCAGGGCTACAGGCTACTAAGTGAGGACTGAAACCCAGTTGTTCTAACTTCTAACCCAGGAAGGTCAAGGTTGACTGATGTATAAAAACCCGAGATAGAAGGACTGAAGGATCAAGCTGAGAGAATGAAACTCCAGGGCGAGGATTTGGATACCTGGGACAGGCAGATGGGTGAAGGCTGGCTCACCAGGCTAGGGAGCACCGATTCCTGTAATGCTTGTGCAGTGGGAATCCCTGCAGGTGTTAATATAAATTCTGTCCAGGACATCGAAGACAACATGAGTCACACATTGCCGATATCCTGGGCTTCCCCCCTTTTCAGGATTTTACCGTCACTCTAGGAACATAAAAAAGCACAAGATTATCCAGTGACAAAGTTCCTACAGGCCTTGGTCTCTGCCTCCTGTAGAAGGTAATGCTTTTGTTAAGTTTCTTTGAGACAGGATCTCACTATGTAGCCCAGATTGACCTGGAACTTGTCATCCTCCTGCCCTGCCCTCTCAAGTACTGGGATTACAGGCGTGTATCACCACACCTGGCTTTCTAGGAGGTACTTCTTAAAGTTGGTACCTCTTTCCCTCTGGGTGGCTCCCTGCTTTGGAAATGATCATCAGGCAAGCCCACCCTGGGTCTCTCTACTTGAAACAGGGGTGCACAGCCTTGAGGCACTTAGTGCTGAGCAATAACGGGGCTCTGCCACACCCTAAAAAAATCCCCTCACCAAAGCCCAGCTGTGCAGGCAAGTGCCTACTCACACATGCCTGGAGGAACCTCCATCTCTGCAGGCAAGAATGGCTCTTCTTGGGGAGTATGGCTAAGTAGTTTGAGAATGGACCATCAGGCTATTAAGATTCACATTTTTATTAAAGGCTGTGGGACAGGATGGGGCACCCCCTTATCCTAAAACCTGTGATCAACTGCATCTGAAGAAAGCCTGCATGGTAGGGCTATGACTCGGTGGGGCCCGCTCAGTCCAAGGCTAGTTTGAGATCTTGCCAGCAGGCAAGAGGCTCAGTAAACCGGGCTGGGGTCTCAGCCTCCCTTCCTGTCCTCCATCCACCCACCCAAAGCTTTAACGGGCTACTGTTGGAATCTTGTCTTAGGCAGACGCACTACCATTTGAACCAAGCTCCTAGCTTCAGGAATGGCACTTTAAATGCATCTGAGTTCACTGTTACAGCCAGCACTCCTGGGGTGGGAACAAATTCTATGGAATGCTTAGTGGATCTGCAGGTATCTACGGGATGGGGCTGAGGTGTGGACAGACTTCACCGAGGTGAAACCCGAGGCCAACAACCATTGAGGCTGGAGGCTTGAGCTCTCGGAGAAGTACTCCAGGAGCAGGGTGCCAGGGAGGAGAAATGACACAGGAAGAATGAACAGCAGTTCTGCAAAAGGGGATAGCTCTCATCTTCCTATGTCCTGCTGCTGACCTCTGGTGTGACCCCAAGGTTGGGGAACCAAAGGCTTAGAATGAGAGCTAGGGTCCAAGGGTGAGAATGTGTCTCGTTCACTGCTCAAGGCCTGTGATCCATACCTAAAAGCCCAGGATGGCAGAGCTGGATGGGTGCTCTAAGACCACACAGGCCAACCAGTCCATCTCACAGATGGGGACGCTGGAGCTCCAGGAGCCCTTTCCCAGTTACACTTAAAGCACACAGTCAGTGACAAAAGACTAGACTTTTCTGTTCCCAGAACGGAAGGAGTGGGCTATCAGACTTGAACATGAACAAGCATCACTGGAGAACCTGTTAGAACACCTTAGAGATTCTGATTCCAGAGGCCTGAGGTAGAGCCTGGAGCCACACTTCTACATTCTCAGGAAGGCCAATGCTGTAGGTGGTACAGGACATCCCTTGGGAGGGTTGATGGTGGGGCTGGAAAGGCCATGCTGAGAGGGGCCTGGTGGCCTTTGGTCCAGACAGCAAAGCTATGAGGAGGGGAAGGAACTTTCCTGGCTGGGAGGCAGGGAGCCAGGTTTGCAGGGTTGAACTGGGGAAACAGGGGCATGGATGAAGCAAAAGCTTCCAGCTCTCTCTGCTATGAGGCCCCTTTGGAATGACTGTGCTCCAAAAAGAAAGAGAACAGAGTTGGCTTCTGGGCAGGCAGAGGCTGGGAACACCCAAATTCTTGAGGGACAGTTTGGTCTGAAAGGCACTTTGGGTATACATGGGCAGCGATCGCTATCTGTGGGAGCTGCCAGCAGCTATCACCTGGGGCAGGGACTGGGGGTCAGAGAGGAATTGCAAGGCCACCCTTGGTAGTGGCCAGTGTGGTGACTGGTAGTCACTTGAAGAGTCCAGAGGCCATGTCTTCTTTACTAAAGACCTCCCTGTTTCTGGCTTCTGGAGGGAGGGCCCCAACTTTGGGGGTGGAGGCTTGATTTTTAGAGAAGGGGAATTTGGGCCCAGAGAAAAGGAACTAACTGACCCTGGACCAAAATGACAACTGAGAACTCGGAACAAGGACCTGGGAATGCTGTGATGGGTGAGGCCTGGCTCTGCCCACCAGAGACCCTAAGCTAGTCATCCTCTCCTCTCAGCTCTGCTGGGAGGCCTTTGTGGCCAAGCTGTAGCCAGCGGGAGGAGAAGAGATGCCCTCTGCCTGTGCTAAGGCTGGCTGCTCCAACAGGCCTTCCAAATAGGTACTCAGAGCCTGCAGGCATTGAGTAGGCTCGATAGGGGACACTGAGGTGGTCTGCAGTGTCAGGTAGTGACCATACTTCTTCAAGCCCTCCTTGGGGTTGCAGCGGTGGGCGGTCAGCAGCTCCAGGTAGCTGACATTGTGCAGAGCCAGGAGGCGGGCCTCGGCCCTGGGCAGGACACCTGCCTGAACCAGGGGCTGCAGGGAGGCGAAGCATTGCAGGCTACTGAACGGGTAGATGTGCTGGGCCAACTGAGGCCCTGGGGAGACTTCCAGGAGGCGGCACAGGTCCCGCATGGTCAGCACGGCTGCCAGGGCGCTGCGCTCGCTCATGTTTCTTGCCAGGTAGGTCTTGGCCAGGTTCTTGAGTTTGAAGCTGCTGGCCCCAGGCACGAGCTCCCTCATTAGGGGCAGTGCGGCCAGGAAACCCGAAATAGCCTCCTGGAATTCCCACAGCCTGTTAATGTCCTCCAGAGCGCGGAAGAAGTTGGGGAGGCCGGGACCCCACAGTTTATAGCAGGCCAAGATGGGGCGGCGCATGGACCTCAGGAAGTGGAGGAAGTGCTGCAGCCCCACCTCCAGGGTGACCGCTTTGGTGTAGACACTGAAGAAGTCCTCAGGCTGGATGAGTACGCGGAACTTGGTTTCCCGGTTCACAGCAGCCAGCTGGCTAATCTTCTGGGCTGGGCAGGAGAGAAGGGCAGGGTGAGGCCCCAGGGGCACAGGAGGTGCTGGGGTGGGTGCAGGGAGACCTCTGGGGCTGGCTGCTGACCCACCACTCAGAGATCCCACCTTGGGGCTTGCCGGCAGGAACCATACATCAGCTTCCAAATGCAGCTCTGACCTGGCCCTGATGGGACAGGGGTCAGAAGGGGAGGTCAGGCTGCCCTTCAAATACCTCACTCACCTGCTAGGGGTCCAGCTCCCCCTCACCCCACCTTCCCTGAGTTTGCCAATCCCTTACAACAGCCCAGACCCCTCTTCGTCTTCTGTCTGCCTCCACCTATACCAAAGACCCTAGAGTGTTTCTTCCTGCCTCTCCACTCAGTGCTCCTGCCTGCAATTCCATATCGCTTAGCTAGGCCTCCCAACAGGGTCAGAGCCCTGAGGAGCAGACAGCAGACCTGCCCCATGTACTCCAGTGGAGGTATGGCCCAGAGCCTCCCTCCGAAGTCTTCAAATGACTCCTGTACTAGAAAACAGCTGCTGCTAGGCTGATGGAGTGGCTCAAGCAGCAAGCATGAAGACCTGAGTTCAAACTCCAGTACTGCCCCACTTTACCCCCCAAAAAAGAAAAAAACAAAAATAGCTCTGCTCCTGGTTGGTTGGGTCCAACAAGTCCACAACACAGGGCAGGGCCCAGAGCTTCTAGCTCTGGGAAGGGTATTACAGGGCCAGAGAAAGAGTGAGAGAAGAAAGAGCGAGGGAGAGGACAGGGGGCTTTCAGGAGAAGGGGTCATCTCTCTGTGACCTTGACACTGTTAGCCTCCCCACTTGTGGGATGGGCCCTGTGCAGTCATAGCCAAAGGCCTTGCCTGGATTACTGGTCAGCAATGAGTTCACACACTGCTCCCAGGCTCTCTTAATACGAGAAGGTCTGGTCAGAGGTGAACTTGGAAGCACACACCTCACTCTCACGTCCAGGCCCTGCTTGAGGCAGATGTCCTTGTTGAAGCTACTGAGTGACACACCTCGGGCCACAGTCCTCTGCCCACCTGGCTGCCACTGTTGGTTAAACTGAGCTATCCTGGGCCTCATAGATGGCTCTGCCTGCACTTCTCTTGGGGATTCAGAGAGTAAGCTAGAAAGGCACAGGGGTTGCCCTACGAGAACCCACTTTCATTGTCAATCTTGAGGTCAAAGAAAATCAGGGGCCTGTCTTCTGCTCGGGGGTCGGTGAGGCTGTTGTCCAGGACCCTGAGGGAGCTGGGGCCTTCCAGCTGGAGGTCACTGGACTCGCTGCTGCTGTCGTCCAGTTCACGGGAGGACTGCAACACAGAAAAACCAACAGGTCAGGGGTTCAGAGGCCTGAGAGAACATAGTGGCAAGGCAAGAGTGTGTCCTGGATCGAGTGTGCACATGAATGAGTAGATTATGGAGGACATGTGAGCAAGTGTGAACTTGGTGTGTCACATATGAGGGGCACGTCTTAGGAAGTGACCACATAGGTAAACAGGAGTGTGCACGGATGTGCACACGAGGGAGCAAACTCAAGTGTCCAGGCTGAGCGTGTGTTGGTGAGGGTGTGAATCTGTGAGCCTGTGTTGCCACAAGCATGTGATGGTGTGAGAAGAGGTGAGCCCCATGGGGGCTCAGGAAAGAGGCCGATGCTCTGGTGGGCAGAGCCTAAGGAGTCCATTCCTAATCCCATCTCTGAGCAGACTCAGAAGAAACAACACAGACTTGGCATAAGACAAAGGAGCCTCATCTGGAATTCCAGGTGATTTTCTGGAGGGGGCAGGAGTCTGGCTTTCCACATCCCTGGAACTGGCTGAGCTGGGCAGCATACTGCATAGAGAAGGGGGAGGGCTGGTCAGCCTCTTGAATAGCACATCTAGGTGGACAGATTGTCACTGGCAGTGAGCGAGCAGGAAGGAAAAATTCATTTACCCAGAGCCTTGGAGCCGAGATCTCGTCTTCCTGCATCTATACCCCAGGGACAGAGGAGCCTGGAGTCCTAGGACTCCGAGGCTAGGCACTTAGGCTCTGCCATCCAGTACCAAGATCAACCCTGGCAGGAACTGGGGCTTCAGGCCCCAGAGGGGGCGGGCAGGGCTCAGCTCAGACATTGTCCCAAGGAGCTGCAGCTACAGAAGGGTTGGAGCTAGTGATGAGTTACTGGCTTATCTGCACAGCTGCCTAGTCTTTGGTGAACTTCGTATGAATGCTACCTATGAATATCAGCCAGAAACCATGGAGACGGGGACACTGCCAGGGTCTCAGGGCCAGCTGGGGAATCTACTGGACAGAGCCCCAAAGCAGCCTCTGGCCGGTCCTCTTTTGGACTGACCTGGCTTGTTAGTGGAGTTGGTGTCCCTAGGACTGAAGCCTGTTTCCTCTGGCCTCTAGCTAATGTCCCTGGGCTGCACTCACAGGCACAGTGTACAGATTAAAGAGAGAAGAGGGCTCAGAACCAAGGCCACAAGAACTCCAACATTACCAGAGCACAGAGACCTGAGAGTGGAGTAATCAGAGCTGCAGAGGGAAAGTCTCCCCAGGGGAGGGACCCACGCCGGTTAATGTGAAGGACTAAACGGGACCACTGCAGTGAGAAGCCTGGAAGTTTCCCTAGGGTCGGCAGGTGACTCACTGGCATGGCTGGAGGTGCAGGAAGTGGGGTGAGCACGGAGCAGTGTGAAGCACAGACAAGGGGAGGAGGAGGAGGACGGGAGGAGATGATGGGGCTGTCTTCCAGGGTGTTAAGTTCAGAAGGAAGTGTAATGATCAGAAGACACAGCAGATGTACATGAGGAGATGGAGTGAGGCTCCCAGGGGGTAGGGGGCTGGACCAGGACACAGGGGTGAGTCCTAGAGGCAGGCGGACATTCCTTCTACCCTAACAGAAGGGACAGGTGAAGGGATGAGACAGAAACAGGTGGATCCACAATAGGTAGCAAGATGTCCACCATGCCTATGCCATCAGAGGGCTCCTGTCTTCTCTCTGGAGAGAAGATGCAGTCACCAGCTGAGAGAGGGTCCGGACTGAGGCTCAGAGAAGTGGCAACGAGCTGTCCTGCAGAGCAGAAGGATTTGAGGAAGAACATCAAGGCCCTCAGGCTAGCACCGTCCTTTGAGATTTGCCTTGCTGTGTGGCTTTTCTCCAATGGATCTCCAGGGGGCAGCACAGAGGCAGCAGGCTCCCAGATCCTTCCAGGGTTGTTTCTGCCAGGCATGCCTCACAGGTCCTCGTGGGACAGTGACTGAAATGGGAGAGGTGACAGCAGGACTGAGGGCTCAAGGAACAGGAGGCTGTGGTTGAGTCCCAGTGGTTAGAGATGGTGAGGAAGCACAGGACGTGGTCACATGGTTGGAGGCTGACGTGGACCCTTGAGAGGTCAAGGAGCAGATGCTAGTGGATGCTGGAGTCACAGGGGGAAGAAGGCAGGACACGAACAGGAAGAAGAAATCCTTACTCCATGAGGGGAGGTGGATGGATGTCCGAGAGAATCTGGGGAGAGTGGGGCACACATGAGAGTGGGACCTCAAAGCCAGCAGACAGTGGGGCAGTAACAGTACAAGAGGCACAGAAGGCCTTGTCCTGCTTCCCTCTGATGTTCATGAGTGTGGGAGGAAGATGGGGCCTGGTATCCCCAGAGGAGAACCAAGTTTTGGTGCAGGGAAGAAAAAAAACAAAACAAAACAAAACAAAAACACTGCAGGGGAAGGGCTCAGTCCAGCAGGGAAACTGAGGGCTGTGGAATAAGGGTTCGCAAGGGTCATGATTCAACAAGAATTTATTGAGCAGCCACACCTGCCAGGTGCAGGGACGGACACAGTCCCTGTACTCACAGGCTGGCAGAGGTCTAGGGACAATGCTTGGGTAGGGAGTGGGGTGGGGGCTGGAAACACAGCAAAGTGCAAGGATCTTCCTTCTTGGGCAAAGAGGCCTGTGACGAAGGTTGGCCTGAACCTCAGCCATGCCCTCACAGCCACAGAGGACCGGAATCTCCCTCCCTGCTAGGGTTCCACGGAGCCATTCATTCCTTGACCAAGTTAATGAATGCCTACTCTGCACAGGCCTTTGGTGTGTGGGCTGGAGGAAGTGCTCAGGGGCTCAGGCAGGGGTGTCTGGCCACAAGGCTACAGCGAGTGGTGTGGCAGGCCAGCAGCCCTGGAAGAGACACACACTCCGGGCTCAAGGCCTGTCGGAAGAGGGCCTTGGCCCAGACTGATGGGGGCCCTTTCAGGAGGGCCGAGTGGAGGGAATGCAGTCAGAGAGATATCTTGTGAGCCCTGGACTTGGGGATTCTCCATGAAGGCCCTGCTAGAGCCCCTAGAGGAAGCTCTCGTCCTCAGAGTTGAGGGTGACTGGCCTCCCCACACACACCTGGTGGAAGAGGCATTAAGCTGGGAAGCCATGGAAGACAGAGGGAAGGAAAAAAACTTGTCGAGCCACTGGCCTAACTGGCGGGAACTCCTGTGGCGTCTCGGGGCTCTGCGTGCCCGGCGGGGTGGGCTGATGGCCCTCTGTGGGTAGGCAGGATGTGCCTGGGCACTGGTAGGGAGGCTGGGAGGCCCTGTGGTGGCAGGAGTGGTAGCCTGGGTCACCGGGGGAGACCAAGTCCGCATGGAGGCACGACGCCACCGGAAGGGCAAGTTGAAGATGTAATGCAGGCGGGTGGCTCTTTGCGTCCTGGGTGAGTGGACACCGATCCCGCGGAAGACAGCAGTACGCTCCTGGCGATCGGCAGGCTGACTGGGAGATTCAGCGTTGGAGACAGCGGCTTGCTCAGCAGGATGGCAGAGGGGCCAACCGGGGGGGTGGGAGGTTCCTTGTGCTCTCAGCAGCGAGTGGCCAGGCGAGGAGTGTGAGGCGGCTGTCTCCGGTGGCTCCATACACTTTCCAATACAGAACCTCAGACTGAGGGCTGGAAAGGACCCCAGGCTTCCCAGTCCAACCTTCCACTGTATTCGTATCTCTTTCCCTAGACAGGTGACTGCCCAGCCTCCAATAACACACCTCCAGGGACAGAAGGGTCACTACCCACGAGACCACTGGCTTCACTGGGGGATGGCTTTAAAATTCTTTCTTATATGGAGCCAAAACTTGCTTGTCTGGACCCTGTACTGCACTGCCCATAGCCTCATACCCTTCCCTTCACTGGCCATCCTTGTTAGCCAGGGAATGGATTCTTGTCCAGTCCTCCTCATGGAGAACTTAGACGACAGAAAAGGCCTAAGGAAACTCCAAAGGCTTTGGAGTTTCCAGAGGATGGCCAGGCCTCTGGAAGGAAGCACTCCACCCAGCATTTCAGAAGAGCACTATAGCCGCTGAAGGCTCCTGCCCCAGCATGGTGAGAGGCCTGCCTACAAGCTGCAGCCATGTAGCTGGCATTTGGAGACTATCCTCGGGACAGCTCAGGCTTTTACTGCCTTGCTGGAATATTCTCCAGGCGCAAGGCGAGCCTGAGAGTCACCTGCTGTGGCTGTGGCCTCTGGGACCTGGAATGAAGGGAGGCTGGAGTCCTGGGCTGAACCTCTGAGCCACTCACCGAGTTCTCGGCATCTGAGTCTTCCGAGCTGCTGATTACCACGATGCGCTCCTCTGAAACGGAGAGGGGAAGTAGCATCAGGTCCTGCCTGGGACACCTGCTGGCCAGGTGAAGGGTGTTCACCTGGGAATCCTTGCAGGCCCGTGGGTGGATGCCCTAGGAAGGCTGACGTGAACATTCGCTGCGTGTCCTGTGGAGATCTGCTTTGTGTGTGGGTCTGGCCTATTTCACAAATGGATTTTTCAGTCACTTTTTGTGCTTCATCTGTGAGTATTTAATGCAGCTACTGGCCCTGAATTCAGAACATGCTCCCCATACAGGAAGCATGGCAACCACCACGTTTGGCAATCCTAAAGAAACACATTGGTTTTTCCAATCTGTGAGCGAGGAATAGCACTCAGGGCTCAGTGTGTGACTGCAGTCAGAGCTCCATTTGGGACCTACAATGAGTTGTTCCTGCACAGCTCCAGGAAGAACTCTCTTGCTGAAGAAGTCTTTGGGCTGACCTCAACTTCTGTCCAAGAACTCAGTCTCCCTGTCAGGCAGAGTCCATATAGGACAACTCATGTAGACAAATAAGATATTTTAGGTGGGTGGCCTTTGCAGAAAAATGTGAGGGAAATGATGGGTATGGGTTTTACCCAAGTCGTCCGTCTCTGGGAGTGTGCAGGGCACCCACCAACAGACATTCTTTGGGGTACCCACCCTGTGCAGAGGTATGGTGCTGGGCACTGGGAGACTGTTTTGGGGTAAGACTGAGGGTATGAGTCTCAGGCTCGCCATACCAACCACAGCAAAGCAAGTGGCAAACTGTAAATTTGCCACCCTGGGCCAATTGGGGGCTGTCCCTGCCCTAATCAATAGCAGCTCAGAAAGCAGGACACACATAGGAATTCTGTTAGCTTTGTGTTTCCAGAGAATGTACAGAATGCAGAGGGGGAGCCCGCCCAGACCCTGGAGGACAGTGTGCAGGCCTCAGCCGCCACTGTGCTGCCTGCCTCCCTACCTGACTCCCTGGCATCACTGGTCACGTGGTTGCTGCTGGGTGGGAAGACCTCTTTTTCTATGATGGGGCTCTCAGGGCTGGGAGGTCCATCCAGGTGGGGTGGTGAGACTGCCTTGGAGGTGCTGGGCCTGGGCTGCTCAGGGGAGCTCGAGGCCAACCTCACCTCCTTCTCCTCCTCAGATTCCATCTTGATGATCTTCCTGGAGCACTGGGTCTGGCAGGACTTTCTCTTCTGGGGTGTGATTGTGTTGGAGACTTCCTGTGCAGTGGGGAGTCACAGAGCTAGGTCAAGCACCTCCAGGATTAGTGGCCAGAGACCTGTACTGGGTGCTGGGGGCTTGTGGCCACACCTTTGCTCCTTCAGTTTCCTCTGTTAAACAGACCATGCCTCTCTTTGGACAGGAAATCTTCCCATGCTGCCATGCTCTCTGGTCCTGGCTGCTCACTGCCAGATTCTGCTGGCTCAATAGCCCTGGGTGTGTCAGCACCCGAGCTAGGCTAGGAGTGGCTCATGCTGACAGTATAGCCAAGGGCAAGAGAAATAGCTCAGAGTGGGTGTTGAGTCAATACCCACTGATGAAGGCCTGGATTCTCACCCGGGCTCCACCTCACTGCTTATGTGGAGTCTAGGCCTTTGGGAGGGAGTGGGCAAGAGGCAGGGCTGAGTAGAGGCTTACCTCTCCATAGGGGGAACCTTTGATGGAGAAGGCATACACGGGCACAGGGTGTGCTCCGGGCACTGACTGTACCACAGCCACAGGTTGGGTCTCAGCCAGCCCCAGGGCCTGGGCTTGTGCCCTCTGTACCTCGTTGGGCTGCAAAATCAGGAAACAAGAGTCAGAAATAACCAGGTAACAGGATAGAGATCCTAGGCCTGTCACCAGCCTAAGATGTAGGTGCCCTGGTCCCAAGCTCAGATATTAGTGGGACAAGCAGTCCTCTCCAAATCCACTGTGCAGTCTTCTTCTTCTGACCCTGGATTCCTGGCGTACAGGCACCACTTCAATTCTTATGTATCCGTTGAGGGCAGGAAGATACCTTAGGGACCACACTACCTAACTCCTCGAGACATGCAGTTTTCACACCTCCAGGGACAAGGTGCTCACTGCCAAGGGCAGCAGTTCCCTCAACAATTGCAAAGTTTCAGCCTTCCCACTGGGCTGAACTGACCACCTGTGAACCTAACTCCACCTGGACAGCTACTACACAGGTAGGAAAAATTACTTAAAATGCATCAGCCTTCAGTCTCCTTCTGTAAATAGGAAATCTAAAACCGACCTCATCACAGCAATGTGGATGAAATGTATAAAATACAAGCCAAGTGTTTAGAAGAGCATCTGGCAATTATAAAATGCCATTAATGGTGGTGGTGAAGACAATGATAAATGTTGTTTTTATTACTACCACTCCATGCTTAGTTCTGTGTTTTGTGCCCCTATCTCAAAATTAAGTAGAGGCAGTGAAGCAGAGAATTACTGTATGACATATCAATCCTTTTTCTAGGCGTATACCTCAAAGAACAGCAAAAGATATTCAAACAAAAACTTTATTCAAGGCTGGGGATGTAGCTCAGTGGTGGAGGGCTTGCCTAGCATGCACAGGCCCTGGGTTCAATCCTCAGAACTACAAAAAAGTTTAAAAGATAGGTACTGTTCTATCCTTCCCTGTCTGGCTCTGCAAAGTGCTAGTACGTAAAAGGCCCCTTGTAACTTAAGAACTCCCTGTAGGCAGGGCTGGGGATTTGCTTCTGTCCCACCTTCTTAACAGTTCCTGCAACACCAGATAACAAACCAGGGGATATACAGGAGGAGTCAGTAAGGAAAAAATGTCATGATAACTGATCAACAGTTATCTTAGAGTTTAAAAATGACAGGTTAATTTTTCCTGTAAGAGTATGCTAACATCATTATGAAAAAAGCCTACAAGAAACAGGAGGGAAGACACCCCCAGCGATGGCCCTATCCAAACAGTGCCCACTAAGCCTGCTGGTGTGTTTTCTCTTCATTTCTCCTAGGTGCATGGATGCAACCAAAGAAAACAAACCAGCAGCTCCAAGAGGGGTGAGTGTGGGAATCTAGAAGCCCACTTCCTGCCTCCTAAGGCAGCACTGTGGCTCCCAGAGCTACACCTATGCCTGCCTCACCTGGCCTTCCTGCCCTCACACTGTTAACCACTTCCTTTCCTCAGCTCCACTCCCCACCCCCCAGGTGGTGACTAAGGTGAAAAACAAAGGCTTTGTAAAAAGAGTTCTGCCTGGATGCTCCAAGTCCCACCTGCTCCACAGCTGAGAGTGAGGCCCCCTCTGCTCTGGCTTTCCCAAAACCACCAGCATGTGCACTGACAGGGAACTGGCGAAATAAAGCATGCTCCATCCATTGAGTGGATCGCGATCCAGCTGCAAAAAGGTCCCAGGAAGGTGCGACATACTAGCTACTGATGGGGCAAGAATACTGGAATGCACCATTGCATAAAGTAGCCCGGGAGTGCAAGGCCATGTATATGTGGCATTTTGCTACCTTTGTGCAAAAACTGAGCGAAAAGAGCAAACGTCTCTCATCGTATTTGCTTGTAATTATGTAGAGAAATTCTGAAAGGATTTATAAGAAATGAACAGACAGGTGTCTGGGCTCTAGAAATGAGGGACCAGGTGGGTGTGGGAAGTGCTATTTATCACTTTCTGTGTTTTTATCAAAAAATAAAATAATCATGCTGTAATCTCAGCATGCGTATCCAGAGGATCATGGTTTAAGGCCAGCCTGGGCAAAACTGGTGTGCTGGTGCATGCCTGTGATCTCAGTTACATAGGAGGCGTGGTGTAGATTACAGACGGAGGCTGGCCCCAGGACCCTATTTGAAAAATAACTAAAAGCAAAAGAGAGCTCAAGTGATAGAGTGCCTGCCTAGCAAGTGCAAGGCCCTGACTTCAAACTCCAGTACGACTGATTGATCGACCAATCAGTCAATCAGTAAGTAAGTAAATAGTTCTCTTTTTTACATATATATATATATACATGGAGAGAGAGAGAGAGAGAGAGAGAGAGAGAGAGAAAGAGAAGCTATAGCCAAAGCAATTAAGAGCTGGCTTTTAGCCTTGACCCTAGCTTGCTGCCTGTGGCCATGGGCTAATCACAGCCCCACTCTAAGTCTTAGCTACATCCTCTTAATAGGGGCTTAGACTCCATGCTGTCACCTAGCTCTGAAACGCTCAGATTCAAGTCCTGCCTCCTTCAGGAAGCCTTCCTGACTGTCCCAGCTCACAGCAATCTCTCTCCTTTGGGTCACCCCATGGCAAAGCTAGGAAGGCTTAATGCCCTGCCGCCTGAGGCAGAGCTGCTGTCTATGGAGGGCTGCTCAGTCCTGGCGCATATCCTTGGCTGGCAGGCAAACCAGAGTGAGCAGGCTGGGGAGGAGACAGATGCCAGGGCTGGGGAGGAACAAGGAAGGCTCATCCTGCTGGAGGGAAGCCAAGCCTATGAGTGCTGAAGGTGACAGGTGAAAGGGACATTACTGAACTCCCCCCAGGGAAGCAGTTTGTGAGCCAGAGCAGTCAGAGATGGAAGGGGGAACCCCAAGAATGAACTCATGTCCTCTCTCTGGAGTGTGTGTGTGTGTGTGTGAGAGAGAGAGAGAGAGAGAGAGAGAGAGAGAGAGAGAGAGAGAGAAAACTGTCCAGCCACGAGTCAGGGCACAGCAGAGGGAATGCCCACATGGCATAGCATGCAGTTGTCTTCCAACCCTGGAAGGTATGCATGCTCCTTAGGTATTGGATGGACTTGGATTCCACCCTGGAACCCAGGCTGCTGCGATGGAGATCTGACTCCTGGCCCATTCTCCATTCCAATTCAAGAACCATACACGGGGAGAGAAAGGTACATATGCAAACCCCACAAAACGGCTCACACATTTGGGGCGGACTACAAGGAAGGGGGAGACCATGCGCCACATCTAACAGGGCTGCTTCCAGTGACCCCACCCTTCCCTGACTGCTCACCCTTGGGTGTTACCCTCCTGAACATGGCTCATGGCCCCTCAGAGCTACTTTGGCTTTTAGGAGCCCGCGGTCAGCCAGTCGACTCCTCCTTAATGCCTTCCGTCACTCCCTCCCATTGAAAGTCTCAGTCCAGCCATTTCTGTCCCTCTCTCAGGCACACCCCTGGGACAATAGGATTCCCAATCTACCTGCCTGCTGCACCCTACCACCTCCCCTTCACACCTCAAACCCCTCTCACCAGCTCCACATCAAAAGGCTCCTTGGGAGTGCTGACAGACTCTGGACTGGCTCTCCTGGACAATGCTGCATCTGAAGAACACAGAAAAGGGACAAGAAAGTCAGGGACACACTGGTGAAGGGCATTCTAGCTTAGGACAGTGGCAGAGGGGAGGACCTCATTGCTTTTCCTGGATGTTCATTTCCAAGGCATCTGGAGGAGTTGGCAGTTGGAAGGAAGCCTTCCTCGATTGCATGAACCCAGCCAGAGGGAGAGAAGAGAGCTATTTCTTTGGCTCCAGATCCCATGTATACCACTCACCATCTCTGGGCCATCAGGAGTGGACAACCGAAAGCCATCCCTGCCCACTGACTCGTTACTGTATGCTTCATGATACTTTCCTGACCCACCACCTGACTGTTCTTAAATCTATTCTGAATCTCTCATGCTTCAGAATAAAATAACTCTTCTCTTTGCCACTGCCCAGATATAACACATGAGGCAAACTATTTAAACTCTGTGGGAGCCAGGCATTGTGGTGGACACCTGTAATCCCCGCTAGTCAGAAGGTAGAGAAGGGTCACAATCCGGAGGCTGGCTGGGACAAAAGCATGAGACTCTACCTGAAAAACCAAAACAAAAAAGACTGGGGGCATGGTTCAAGTGGTAGAGGCTTGCCTAGCAAGCACAAGATCCTGAGTTCAAAATCCAATACTGTCAAAAACCAACCAACAAAAGTCTCTGTGGGGTCATTTCCTGGAAATGGGGCAACATTTACTGCCTAGATGGAAAAGGCAAAAGTCCACGGCCGCTCTAGGATTATATAACTTTATGAGCTCACATCTGCCAGCTCCAGGAGGAAGTTGGGCCTTCCATCACTGATACCTGCTGGGGGTGCTTCTGGATTCCGTAGCCTCTCTCTGTCTTCCCCCCTATGTCAGGGGGTCAGAGCTCAGATTCCAGCCCAGATATTTATTTTTATTTTATTTTATTTTTTCATTTTTCTTTTATTATTCATATGTGCATACAAGGCTTGGTTCATTTCTCCCCCCTGCCCCCACCCCCTCCCTTACCACCCACTCCGCCCCCTCCCTCTCCCCCCCATCAATACCCAGCAGAAACTATTTTGCCCTTATCTCTAATTTTGTTGTAGAGAGAGTATAAGCAATAATAGGAAGGAACAAGGGGTTTTGCTGGTTCAGCCCAGATATTTAGTTCAAAGTCCTGAAGTTCCTCTTGTAAACAGCCCCCTGCCCACACCTGGTTTGAAAGCCCCTTGATGTCTCTAAGCTCATCCAGATTTTGATGCTCAATATCAGGCAGGGTCCACAGAGGTTGGCAGCTGGTCCAGATGGCAAGCCACCCAAGGGACAAGGAATCTCCTCCATTCTCCATTGTTTTGAGTAGGCACCTCATTCCCAGGCGTTTCTTAGCCCCCTTCTACTCACACTCCAGCTGACTTCTCTGTTCTTGGGCACAGAGGGCTTGAGAGAACTTTCTGGAGTGAATTAAAATAATGACGCATCTGATTTTCAGCCCTGCAGTTTCTCAACTGCCACATGCTCCCCAAAGGTCACAGCTATTCTATAGTTTTTGTTTTGTCTTTTTAAGACAGGGTCCTGCTATATAGCCCAAGCTGCCCTTGAACTTGTGATCCTCCTGCCTCAGCCTCCTGAGTGGGACTACAGGCATGGACCACCACGCCTGGCTTCCATAGGGTCTTATAAGTTACAAAACTTCTGGGCACCTGCATACCCATGTCAGATCCTCCTCTTCTTATTCTCCCCCTGTAATTAAGACCTGAGGAAACCTAAGAGACTTAATCAAAATGCGGTTTCTTTCCCTCCCCTCCCTTTTCTTTCCTTCTGTTGGGTCTGGAGACCTAAGGCAGATGAGTGAGTATCCCATCCCCCACGGAGGGCAATTATTATTCCTGCATCCTGAGGAGATGGAGGCCTGCATTCCTGCAGCCTGAAGGAGAGATACAGATCTGCCACAGGGCTGATGAGCAAAATGCTCTCAAGATGGTACTGGCACAAAAACAGACATGAAGACCAGTGGAACAGAATAGAGGACCCAGATAGGAAGCCACACAACTATAAGCAACTTATCTTTGACAAAGGAGCTAAAAATATACGATGGAGAAATAGCAGCCTCTTCAACAAAAACTGCTAAAAACTGGTTAGCAGTCTACAAAAATGAAACTAGATCCATGTATATCACCCTATACCAAGATTAACTCAAAATGGATCAAGGATCTTAATATCAGACCCCAAACTCTTAAGTTGATACAGGAAAGAGTAGGAAATACTCTGGAGTTAGTAGGTATAGGTAAGAACTTTCTCAATGAAACCCCAGCAGCACAGCAACTAAGAGATAGCATAGATAAATGGACCTCATAAAACTAAAAAGCTTCTGTTTATCAAAGAAATGGTCTCTAAACTGAAGAGAACACCCACAGAGTGGGAGAAAATATTTGCCAACTATACATCAGACAAAGGACTGATAACCAGAAATATACAGGGAACTTAAAAAATCTAAATTCTCCCAAACTAATGAACCAATAAAGAAATGGGCATGTGAACTAAACAGAACTTTCTCAAAAGAAGAAATTCAAATGGCCATAAAACACATGAAAAAATGCTCACCATCTCTAGCAATAAAGGAAATGCAAATTAAAACGACACTAAGATTCCACCTCACCCCTGTTAGAATAGCCATCATCAGCAACACCACCAACAACAGGTGTTGGCGAGGATTCGGGGAAAAAGGAACCCTCTTACACTGTTGGTGGGAATGTAGACTAGTACAACCACTCTGGAAAAAAATTTGGAGGCTACTTAAAAAGCTGGACATTGATCTACCATTTGATCCAGCAATACCACTCTTGGGGATGTACCCAAAAGACTGTGACACAGGTTACTCCAGAGGCACCTGCACACCCATTTTTATTGCGGCACTATTCACAATAGCCAAGTTATGGAAACAGCCAAGATGCCCCAGCACTGACGAATGGATTAAGAAAATGTGGTATCTATACACAATGGAATTTTATGCAGCCATGAAGAAGGAACGAAAGTTTATCATTCACCGCTGGTAAATGGATGGAATTGGAGAACATCATTCTGAGTGAGGTTAGCCTGGCTCAAAAAACCAAAAATCGTATGTTCTCCCTCATATGTGGACATTAGATCAAGGGCAAACACAACAAGGGGATTGGACTATGAGCACATGATAAAAGCGAGAGCACACAAGGGAGGGGTGAGGATAGGTAAGACACCTAAAAAACTAGCTAGCATTCGTTGCCCTTAACGCAGAGAAACTAAAGCAGATATCTTAAAGCAACTGAGGCCAATAGGAAAAGGGGAACAGGAACTAGAGAAAAGGTGAGATCAAAAAGAATTAAACTAGAAGGTAACACCCACGCACAGGAAATCAATGTGAGTCAATGCCCTGTATAGCTATCCTTACCTCAACCAGCAAAACCCCTTGTTCCTTCCTATTATTGCTTATACTCTCTCTACAACAAAATTAGAAATAAGGGCAAAATAGTTTCTGCTGGGTATTGAGTGGGGGGGAGAGGGAGGGGGCGGAGTGGGTGGTAAGGGAGGGGGTGGGGGGCAGGGGGGAGAAATGAACCAAGCCTTGTATGCACATATGAATAATAAAAGAAAAATGAAAAAAAAAAAAAGATTTGTTTCCTTCCCCCAGTAAAGGTGCAAAACAAACCAGTTCACCTGAGAAAGCCCTCGAATCCAAGACCAATGAGAAAAACCCACTTAACCCAGAGTTAAAATGTCCATAAAAACCCCAGCCTTCACCAGAGCAGTGAGCTACTGGCTTCCAGGCTCCACTACTCTTCTCTAGCTGTAGCCTTTCCTTTCTCTAATAAATCCTACTTTATACACCGGCTTTGGCTCGTCATTGGGCTGCCTCACTAGCCAGTTCTCTGGTCTGTGAAGGCAAGGACGCTCGAAATCGGCCTGCAACACCCTCAACACCGGCACGTAACAGTTCCTTCCTTTTTGCAGTACTGGGATTCGAACTCAGGGCCTCACGCTTGCTAGGCAGGCACTCATCACTGGAGCCACTTGGCCAGCGAGTTTTCCTTATCTGTCAAATGGGTATGTTTGTTCTTTTCTGTCTTGCCTCCCCTGGGAGCAACATCAAAGCATAAGCCCTTAAATGATGAGCAGGCCACCTACCTGTCCCCTGGGTGATGCAGGAGATGAGGTCCTGCAGGCGCACCTTGAACTCGTCGAAGCCACTGGTGCACACGGCCGCCTGCAGGTTCTGGGGCTCCTCCTGGCGCAGACGGCCGAGCGCCTGGCGCAGGAAGTCGTGCATGTCCAGCACCTCCTGGTCCGAAGCGTAGAGCTTCATCCTCTGCACGAGCGCGCCGCCCGTGCGGATGCGCTGCAGCACGGCGTCCAGGCGGCTCAGCCGGCCGCCATCTCTTGGTAGTCGCGCTGGTACCGCGCGTTCACCGCCTCCAGCAGCTCGCGCTCCCGCGCCTGCACGTGCGCGACGACCTGGCGCACGCGCGCGCGGATCAGCTCCTCGGTGTCGGCGCGCGCGCGGCCCAGCTGGCTGATGGCCGTGCGCACCTGCGCATGCGCCACGCCGAAGGCGCCGTCCTGCTCCTGCAGCGCCTGCGTCATGGCGTCCAGCTCCTCCTGCCGCTGCTGGATCTCCTCGCCGATGTTGCACTTGAGCTCGCTGTGGCCCGAGTCCAGGAGCGCGCACGAGCAGCACAGCGGCTTGGAGCAGCCTCGGCAGTAGATGCTGCGGACACGCGAGGCCCACCCGGGTTAGGGCTGTCTCGCCTCTTTCCCCCTTTTCGTTTTTGTTATGAAATAATTCCTCTTCCCAAATTACCGAACTTTGGATCATGACATGGTTCTAGGTTCGTGTTTTCCCAACTCAGTGTTTATGATTATGGTGACAGCACCCAAACTACCAAACAGAAAGTAAAGTTACCGCAGTAACAGTTTCTCCACCCTTGCGACAATGCAAAAATACACGAATAATCTTGGGCTGGAGAGATGGCTCAAGTGATAGGAAGGCCTGAGTTTGAAACCCCAGTAACACAGACCCCACAAGAAAACATCCGCCACTTCTGAATTTGCCACTTCCGAGGCACCAGATGAGCTTGGTGAGGTGCCTCCTTCCCGCCTCTCTCCACCACATTCACCTCACATAAATACCCAAACTGAGCTACTGCCTGCAGTATTCTAAAGACTGGTCATACATCATCCACTTAACCTTTGCAATGGGAATTATCGTGGTCCTCCTTTCACAGATGAAGAAACAGGCCCAGACATCTAAATGATTTTTTTGGGGGGGGCGGGATGGGGGATAGTTGTTCTTTAAAAAATGAGATCACAATCCTAGCTGCTCAGGAAGCAGAGAGCAGGAGGATGACTGTTCAAGCCAGCCCCTGGCAAATAGTTCTAGAGACCCTATGTCAAAAAAAACCCATCACAAAAAAGGGTTGACTCAAGTGGTAGAGCACCTGCCTAGCAAGTGTGGGACACAGTTCATGCCCCAGTGTTGCCAAACAACAACAACAACAAATTAGATCATGTTCAGAAGTCCTGTGGCATGAACCTGGACTTGACTCATATAGAGAACTGTTATCTCTGGAAAGGCAAAATGACAGTTATTTACTTCTGGAATATTCAAAAGAATGAACTAAAAACACCACTGGATTAGTAAGAAATTGCTAAGCAAAGTGGCTAGGTGACACAAGAAAGGGAGGGGTAGAGAAAAAGAGAAATGGTTTAATTCTATCCAAGCAAAGCAAATGAGAAGAAATATGGGGGAATTCCATGGTCTCACAGCAGTAATCCAAGAAATGCTATCAAATACCTAGACATAATCCTAGCAGGAAATATGTAGGAATTAGATGAAGAAATGTATATGAAGACTTTAACTCACTGAGAGATAAAGTCTAAAAACCAGAGAAGTGTATCGGTGTCCCAGTTAGACTAAATCCAGGATTACTAATTTGCAAGTTAACATAAAGGGTTAAGGCAACTTAAATTATGAGTGAGATTTCAAGACTTAGCTTAATGGTTCTAAATTTATATTTTGAGGGAATAAACAACCAAGTAGCTAAGAAAATTTAAAAAGCCAGTGTAAGAAAAAAAGATTTTTCTTGGCTAGAATACTGACAGTTCATAGAACCACCATTAATTTTTAAAATGTGGGATCAGTTGGGATTGGTGGTGTATGCCTGTAATCCCGGCTACTCTGGAAGTGGAGATACGAGGATCAAGGTGTGAGACTGGCCTGAGCAAAAGTGTGAGATCCTATGTGAAAAAAACAAGCTTGAAAGCAAAACGACTGAGGCATGGCTTAAGTGGAAGAGTACTTGCTTATTAAGCATGAGGACCCCAGTTCGATTCCCAGTACTAAAAGGGGATTGACTTTTTTTTTTTTTTTTTTTTGACTAGAGGAATAATCAAAAGAAAAACTAGATAGGCCTGAATGGGTCCTGGCATATCTAGAAATGTAGTAGTTCATGAAGCATCCCAAGCTAATGAACTTTCAAGGTGTCATCTGAAATCACCTTTCAAGGTGTCAACCTGAATCAGGGAAATTGGCTGGAAGTTGGGGGGCAGGAGTCAGGTGAGAGACTTGCTTCTTACTTCACCTGTGGATGTATTTCCAACAGATTTCAGAGATAAATGAAAAAATAACACCATGAAGGAGAAACTCTAGTCAATGCTTCATTTATTCTCCTGATGGTAAATGATCACTGAAGAAATGAAAGAAAATCATATAATACACAGAAGCCTATACTGAAAAATTCAAAACTACTTTTTTTTTTTTTTTTTGACAATACTGAGGCTTGAACTCAGGGCTTCTACCTTGAGCCACCCCACCAGCCTTTTTTTGTGAAGGGTTTTTTTCGAAATAGGATCTCAAAACTTTTTGTCTGGGCTGGCTTCAAACTGTGATCCTCCTGATCTGTGCTTCCTGAACAGCTAGGATTACAGGCGTGAGCCACCAAAACTACACTTTTTGTAAAGACATTCATGACTTGCCATGACATAAGAAAGGCAAGTTATACAACATGAAGTGTCAGTTCTATTTTACATGATCAAAGAGAAAGTAAGAAAGGAAAGGTCTATTGTGGTAAAGTAGTAGGTGCCTTTCTCTTCTCCTCCCTTTTCACAGATTTACAAAAGTTTCTGTAATCAACTTTTCTTCCTCCCTCCCTCCTTCCCTTCCCTTCCTTCCTTCCTTCCTCTTTCTTTTTTCGGCAATACTGGCAGGTTGAACTCAGAGCCTTGTACTTGCTAGTGCTGGGCAGGTATCTACCACTCAAGCCACACAACCAGCCCTTCTCCTCCTCGTCTTCTTTTAGAATTTTATTTATTCATTTATTTTTTGAGAGAGGGTCTTACTATATAGCTCAGGCTGGCCTCAACCTCTCATCCTCCTGCCTGTGCCTCCTGAGTAGCTGAGTCTAATCAATTCTAAGCCAAGGAGTTTGAACTCTAAGTAAGAGTCACCTGGGAACCTTCAAGGGACATCCATCTAGGCTTTACAACAGGGCTTTCTCTTCTTCCCTGGGATCTATTGTTCCACTGTTCCTTTATGACTGCTAAGTGAATTTTCCACATCATTAATATTTTAATAGAAGCTTCAACACATTTCATGGGTTTTCAATCCCCCTATTCTAAAGCTGCCATGTCTAAACAGTCATGTGAGAGAGGCCATGTGACAGCAGAAAGGGTATAAGTTCTAGAGGAGACCTGGGCCTAAATCTGAGTTCTTCCAGTTTGTAGCTGAGCCTTGAGCAAATTCTCTCTGTGAGTCTTAATTTCCCCAACTGTACAATGGGAATAATAATGCTTGCTCTTCATAGACATTGCAAAGATAAAGACAGGAAGGTGGATGTGAAGTGCCCAGCACAGTGCCAGGAGCACAGGGGCATTCTGGAGTCATGAAAGAAGAGAGGGCAGTAGCTACACATGTACACATGGGGGGGGGGACAGCTCTGCTGCTGGTGGCAAACCTCTCAAGCTCAGACAGTAAGGAAACATCACCATTAGTGTGTTCCTGGGCTGTCCCCTTCCCAGTATGGAAAGGCTACCCCAGTTCAGCCACAACTTCTGTTGGGCCAGAGGAGCAGAAGTGTTTCGGGAAATGCAGGATGCCAGAGATGCTATGGGAAGCGTTGGGGGGAGGGAGAGAACTGGCATGAAAGCAGGACTCCAGGGCAGGGCCTGGTACGCCTGAATGGCCAAACCTCCATCTCCAAGCAGCCAACTTGGAACCTTCACTTTGGTGAAGTAGAAGAAGAGCAGCTCTTTTGGAAATTCAAAACAATTACAGGGTAATTAAAGGGATTCATCAGTCATTTACACAGTGGTATGAATGCGTTTAACCAGAATGCTTTCTCATTACCCCTTGGGAGACACAATTAAGGAAACAAGATTTCTAGACAGGAGAGGAGATGGATAACCCCAGAACCTGGGATATCTAAACACAGTGAATGCACTATTCCTATTGACCAGCCCTCCCACTACTCTTCAGTTGAGAAGGTGCTGGTAGACATGCAAGGCCTGAGGTTTCAGACAGGAAGATAACAGAAGTAAAAGAAGCAGCAAGGAAAGAGGTGAGAGAGACATTGTCTGTTTCACACTACTGTCTAATGCTGGCCCCACACCCAAGAATGAGGAAGAGGAAGCTTGTGTTTTCCTTCCCCACTCATTTCTACACAGCTCCCGGCACCCAGGACATATGGCGGACAGTGTTCTGTTGGGCCACTCACTCATTCTGTAGGCAGCAGGTGCCCTGCTCCTCCTGCCATCTGTAGGGCAGTGAATGGCCTCACAGTTTAATGGGCACTCAAGCCAGGGACCATAGTCATCCTAGATGCCTCCTTCTCTTTTACTGAGTCCACAATAATTCATCATTAAGTCTTCTTGAGTGAGTCTACCTCCATTTACATAAAAATTATGAATAACTATGTGTAGCATGGGGCTACACATCTTTATATTCTTCCTTCTCCCCCTCCTTCTTATCTTCTTTTTCTTGGTTTATTTCCACTAGTATTACAATTTTTAGTTTATTAATTTTAAGTGCTTTCAGATTAGTAATCTAACAATATTACTACATTTTGAAGGGAATTTAATGACTATTGAATGAGTAGCAAAGATTAGAGCTACCATATGTATGTACAGCTACATAAAAGTAATTTTATACATACTTTATAAAAGTACTTGCAAATACCAGAATTTGCTATAAAGATGGTGAAGGCAGCAGTCTGGCTCTCCAACCTGTCACATCAATTTCCCTTGCTACTGCCTTGGTCTCACCTGGATTACTGCTTATCCTCTGGGGCACTGTCCTCTCCTGGCCTCCCTGCCCTGGGCTTTCCAGCTCCAATCAGCTCCAGTGCCTCCCAACATGGAATTCCACCCTCCCCCCCCACCCCCTTTTTTTTTTTTGCAGTACTGGGGTTTGAACTCGGGGCCTCACACTTGCTAGGCAGGTGCTCTACCACTTGAGCCACTCCACCAGCCCATCATGGAATTTCCAAAGCATTATTATCCTCAGAAGCCAAGAGGATGGCACCAAAACTCCTCAGAAGGGCAATCAAAAGAGTGTCACAGGCAAATAAAGGAGATTCCATTTTTGGAACAAAGTTAGATCACCTGGAGAAACGCAATGATTTTATAATACCCTGCTATTATATAGTATCATATGCTGGTGAATATTAACATATGCCAGTAGGTGTTGCAAGAAATAAAACAGCCTATCGTACA